TTTTGAGTGACACAGTCCATCATGTCTTGTATAGTCTTAGTTCTGAGTTCTGTGTCTTATGGTATTTCTCTTGGGAATTTTATCATCAACTCATAAAACACCCTTTCGATATGCCAACCCATTGCTTTCTAGTTCGTCTTTTGAGGAAATTAATCCTAGTTCTACCTGGTACTCAAATATGAGTACACTGTGATCACTCATTCCCAAGGGGACTTACAACTTAACTTCTTTATATCTGACTTATTCAGTTTGAATATCAGATCAAGCATTGCTGGTTCTTCTTTTCCTCTCATTGTTGTCGGTCCCTTGATGTGTTGGCATAGAAAGTTTCTTGTTGCCATGTCCAACAGCTTAGCTCTCTATGTGTCTGGTCCTCCATGTGGTTCTCTGCTCTCCCAATCTATCTTCCCGTGGTTGAAGTTTCTCATGATTAGCAGTCTGGATCCGTTTTGGCTAGTGACGGAAGCTGTTCTCTCTATTATATTAATGGTAGCCGTGTTCTTGTCTGCATCTTCTGTCATTTTATGGGGAAAGGGTCATTTATATGACTAATACTATACGTTTTTTTTCCCCCAATTGCTATGGTACTTATTATGTAGTCACTGAAATCTTCACAGCCCTGGATAACCATTTCTTCAAAACTCCAGTATTTTCTTATCAGCAGAGCTACTCCACCTCCAAATCTTCCTTCACTCTCTTTCCTAAATACACAGTATTCCTGCGGAAACACTGCTTCTGTTATGTTTTTCGTTAGCTTTGTTTCTGTGAGTACTATTATGTCTGAGGTTTTCTTCTTATACCCATTCCTCAAGTTCACTTGATTTATTTGTAATTCCATCTATGTTTGTGTACATTATTGTGAAGCACAGTTTCTCATGTCCATTCTTGTTTCCTCTTCTTGGTGGTCTTTCTGCTGATGGGGAAAGCTGGTCCATAGGTGTGGAGATTTGTGAGTTGGTTAACATGGTCTCAGATGATTCAAGGGTGAAGGGTGGGAGTTCAAGGGAAGGGAGGACAGGGACAGTATGAGGAGAGGGAGACAGGGAGGATATGGGGTGAGCGGTACCCAATGAGAGTATGGGGTGAGGGGGGGGGGTGTTATGGCCATACCAGTAACCGGGTTCTTGCTGTTTATGTATCTTATAACCTGTACGTCTTTATCCAACCCCAAGTCGGTGGTAACATGGGGTTAAATGCCACAGCCATTTCAAGAAATGGCTGTGGCAGTAGCCATTTCTTGAAATGGCTGTGACAGTAGCCATTTCTTGAAATGGCTGTGGCAAGAAGTAGTGCAAAGAAGAAAGGAGGGATAAACAATACACAATTACACCTTCATCAATATATTAATCAACACCTTCACCACTATAAATATATTATATTAAAGTAATACTACACATATTTAAAAAGTGTCGCTTTCACTCAGGACACATTACATCGGCAGCGTTCATGAAATCCCAGTGAATCCACTTTTCAGGTGCACGTTGTCCACACTTAATGGCAAACACTGGCAAGTTCACCTTCTTCCACATGGGCTAGTCCACAAACACCATAGTGTCACGATGTACCAATACCCAACCTCTGCTCTCCAGATACACACCACTGGCAGAGGGTTTCAGCAACACGCTGACAGGGGGTCTCAAATTATCACATACAGGGGTAGCTAGCACCCTGCCAGAAGTCTCTAGCAGCTCACTAACAGCACTTCTCAACAGACGCACCACTGCCATCGCATAACCCTTCCTGGCCAAATCCCGGGTATGTCGGTCCATACAACACTGCATGCATCCAGCAGCTAACACATTGCTATAACCGACGGCGGCCACTTTTGTCCTCTCACAAGACCAAGTCATGAGTTTAGGATTGCCCAAGGTGAACTGCCGTCCTCAGCGCAATCGCCTCCTTGCGTCACCTCTGTGAACATTAAACGTCATTAGCTAAACAGACAATAGTTATCCTAAGGTGACCTTTGGATAACACCCTGCCACCGGGGAATTGAAATTGTAAATTGTAACCACAACCTAAATGGCTTTGATCTCGATATGCCACCCACCAGAGGTCATCATCATCCTCACCTTCCAACTGAGGTAGAAAACCAGAGCTTTTCACTAATGCCATGCCACCACCATGAGATGGCTTTGTCTGTGTTGCACCCAATACCTGGGAGTTGGAGTACAGGTTCATAGATGGCGCCGAAGTCACCACTCCCCACTCTGGCAACGGTGTTGATACCGTAGCAGGGGGGACTGAGAAGGAATGGGGTGAGGGGGAGAGGGTGGAACAGGGAGGGTAAGGGGTAAGGAGGGAGGGAGGGAGGGAGGGTTGAATGAGTATTTGAATGGGGACAGGGAGGATACAGTGTAAGGAGGATTTCTATGAGGAGGAGGGTGGAGGTGTTGTCCTCTCCTCTGGGGTACTGGGGTGCTGGTTGGGAGTTCTGCACTCCCCTCCCGGACTGTTGTGTTGAGGCCAGTGGTTTCCTGGTTCTCTCCTCTCTCCTTGTGCTTCTTTGCATCTGCTGTCATTGCTCTTTCTTCCTTCGTCATGTCCTTCTGGAGGAATGCTTTCTTGCTTCCTCTCACATTTAACAGTTGACCCTTGTTAGAATTTCCTCCTTCGTGGTCTCGTTTGAAAACACAATCTTTATCAGGTGATCTCTGTCTTTGTTGTACCAGCCTAGCCTGAAAACCTTCTCTATGCTTTGTCCAGCCCATTCCATCTGTAACCCCTTTAGAATCTTTCTCACTGCCACACTGTCCTTACCTTCTGTTCTGTCGTACTGGAGCCTTATTGTTCCTTAATGCTAACTGATACCACTGAACCTTTCCTCTCCAGCAGCTGACTAGAGTACCTTGCTGCTTCCTGTGTGGTAGCTGCTTTCATGGCTACTTCACTGTGGACATTGCTTCTGAACTCTTTTTAAACATTTCTGCAAATGTTGCATGTACAGTGGCAGTCCCATCCATTGATACATTTCCATCTTCTGATGCTGAGCCTAGTAGGGTTCTCTTTGAGGATTCTTATCTCATCCTTTGCTGCTATCAGCTCGCTTTGCAGGGTGCTTTTGGTATTCCTCATTTCATGCTTTTTTTCATTCCTCATTTCCCCTTCTGATTTCCTCCCAAGCTTGGCCGAACATGTCCTTCATTGAGTAACTCTGACTTTTTCACTGTGCCATTGGAATGTCTTCCTGCCATGTTTGTTCCTTTTGCCTACTATGTTGGGATAGTCATAGTCAGGGAAGGACAGAAAGGGAGAGAGAGAGAGAGAGAGAGAGAGAGAGAGAGAGAGAGAGAGAGAGAGAGAGAGAGAGAGAGAGAGAGAGAGAGATATCAAGAGAGAGAGAGAGAGGGAGAGAGAGGGAGAGAGGGAGAGAGGGAGAGAGGGAGAGAGGGAGAGAGAGAGAGAGAGAGAGAGAGAGAGAGAGAGAGAGAGAGAGAGAGAGAGAGAGAGAGAGAGAGAGAAGAAAGAGAGAGAGAGAGAGAAAAGAAAGTGAGAAAGTGACTGAGTGTGAGTAAGTATGAGTGAGTGTGTGTGAGTTTGAGTAAGTGTGAGTGAGTGTGGGTGAATGTGAACCAGACACAAAGCAGAACGCTTTAAAAGAGACCAATGTCGTCTATGCCTTCAAATGCCTACTTGGGGACTGTAAGCCTCAAAGAATTCAGTATATAGGCAAGACAACAACATCTCTTTCCAGGCGATTAACGATGCGTAAGCAACAGGGACTCCATTAAGGAACATATAATCTCTTCCCACAACCAGACCATCACCAGAGAAGTCTTAACAAAAAACACGGAAATCATCGATAGATACAGCGATAGCAGGCGGCTAGATATCTGCGAGGCACCACACATTAAGAAGTCAACACCAGCAATCAACAGCCAATTAATGCACAACTATATTTTACCCACTTCAAGACTCCACACCAATATAGAAGCATCAAGAAATATGGGCCAATAGGCCCTTTGTAGTTACTTCCATTCTTCCCTTTAACTTACAAAATATTATACCCATTGTTTCGTGTATCTGTCTTGTGTTGAAATTTTGTTCTCACCTCATCCAAAACTGTTGTAACATATCACCTCACCCAAATGCAGGTATAAAAAATCGAAGCTGTTTAAACTCTGTTCAGTTATAGTTGTGTGTGTGTAAACTAAAGCCTTTGAAAATGTAATAAGTTTTACGATACGCGCTCAAGTGTCGCGTCAGACTAGAAATAAAAATGAATTTTGGAGAATTGATTTTTCAGTTACCATCAACAGTGAAAAAAATATAAGAAACATTGACAAAAATCGTGTTAGAATTATTAATCTTACTTTTTCGGTCATATTTAATAATATATATATATATATATATATATATATATATATATATATATATATATATATATATATATATATATATATATATATATATATATATATATATATATATATATATATATATATATATATATATATATATATATATATATATATATATGTCGTACCTAGTAGCCAGAAAGCACTTCTCAGCCTACTATGCAAGGTCCAATTTGCCTAATAAGCCAAGTTTTCATGAATTAAATGTTTTTCGACTATCTAACCTACCTAACCTAAACTAACCTAACTTTTTCGGCTACCTAACCTATAAAGATTGGTTAGGTTAGGTTAGGTAGGGTTGGTTAGGTTCGGTCATATATCTATGTTAATTTTAACTCCAATAAAAAAAATTGACCTCATACATAATGAAATGGGTAGCTTTATCATTTCATGAGAAAAAATTAGAGAAAATATATTAATTCAGGAAAACTTGGCTTATTAGGCAAATCGGGCCTTGCATAGTAGGCCGAGAAGTGCATTCTGGCTACTAGGTACGACATATATATATATATATATATATATATATATATATATATATATATATATATATATATATATATATATATATATATTAACATCTCTGAAGAAGAGATGGTAAAGGAGGAAAGTGTTGTTGACACACAGGGTGTGTGCGGTGCTCACCTGGAAGTCAATGGAAGGTATTGGCATCTCACACAGCCACCACTCTTTGTCACGGGGGCGGAAACAGGTCCTCAACAGCTGAACCTTACTGAAAACCATACAACTTGATTAATCCTTTTCCTACCGTGTTTCACTGCTACTTTGTCGCTTACATGTTGTTAGGGAGTATTTTACTAATCTATATAAATAAAAATGGAAATGTTCGTTTGTTCAAAATCGCTAATCTCCAAATGTTCTTCACCGATTGCTTTGAAATTTTCACACAGCGTTCCATTCGCTTCCGAGCAGATTTTTATATACATATTATATTGATGTTACGTCTGTGACAGAAAAAAACATGCTTTTTTGAAAAACTGTGTTTTTCATGTGCTCTTCAAGTGAGAGAAATCTTCGAAACCTCTTTACCGATTGCTTTGAAATTTTGACACGACGTTGTATTCGTATAGGCGGGTGCTTTTATATGCATACTAAATACATGCTTCACCTGTGACAAGAAAAAACATGTTTTTCTTTAAAAGCAGCGCCATCTGTAGGACGTATGAGCAACACACGCTGTACTCTCCGAAAGTTCTTCACCGAATGCTCTGAAATTATGACACAACGTTCCTTTCGAATACGTGCATGTCTTGATATACCTACTATATAGCTGCCACACTTGTGAAAGGTAAGAACATGCATTTTTTGAAAAACAGCGCCATCTGTTGCACGTAAGAGCAACATTCGATATACAAGATATGTTACGATTCAATTTCAATGTTTCCGATTACATTGATATAATGAATTTTTATAGATTTTGATTTATTTTCATTTTGATTTAATTATTTTGTGTGACATTGCGTTGGAATTGAGCTGTGTTGTTTACCATACCGTTCATTTCGTGGGTATAGCTTATTTGTTTCTTTTTTCATTGTTTTTCATTTCTTTTGTAACTGTTCTTCTTATTTTTCATTGTAATTGGTGGTGAAATTGATCGGATTGATCGGCGTTTGAATTGAAATATTTCGTAATTATTTTTTGTTTTTGTTTTGAAAACAAGAAAATGGACAACACGTTTATTTCACAGCTGCAAATATGCAACAAACAGCTATGAATCCACCAGCTTCAACGTTAACTGCTTTCTTCACGTTTTGTCAAAATGACGTGTTTGCAAAAACACTGCTGTATTCGGAAGTGCCTACGTATTACACATTGAATGCCAGTAGAAAATTATTTGAATGGCGTAAACTAGGAGAACGAGTCGACGGACAACCTGGCATATTCAAACAAACTACGATAGGCAGACTGTACACCATGCATCCCAATGCTTCTTTCTTCGCAAGCTGTTGGTAAATGTGCCCGGTCCAACGTCTTTCCATCGTATGTGCAATCAAATATTCTTAAGCTAACACTTGAGCGAAAAGGCATTTACGATCAAATAATTCAAACTGTCAATAACGGGTTTGGAGAAATCTTCTTAGATGCACCAGGAGGAACTGTAAAACCTTTCTAATTAGATTGATTTTGGCAGCATGTCGATACCCAAAATTGCATTACCTTAGCTCTTGCATCATCCGGAATAGCTGCGATATTGCAACCAGGTGGAAGAACTGCTACTTCGACTTTGAAATTGCCATTGAACATGCAATTCATTGAAACTCCCACGTGTTATATTTCCAAAGCATCTATCATGGGAAAAGTATTGCAGAAATGTAAACCTATTGTTTGGGATGAATGTACAATGGCCCTCAAAAAATCGTTCGATGCCCCTGATCGATCATTGCAAGATTTGCATGGAAACATCAGACCATTTGAGAATGCATTAATATTGCTTGCAGGAGATTTCATGCAAATATTACCTGTAATTCCTCGATTAACACCAGCGAACGAAATAAATACTTGCCTGAAATACTCTACTTTGTGGCGTCACGTAAAAATGTTAAAATTAACTACAAATATTCATGTCCAGCTGCAAAACGACTCATCAGCTGAGATATTCTCACACCAATTTCTGGAAATTGGGAACGGAAAGGGATACCACCACCGCACGAACTGCAACTAAAAATCGGCGTGCCAGTTATCATGTTACGAAATATCAGCCAGCGAAAGCTTAGCAACTGCATGCAGCTTGCAGTAAGAAACCTATTCAGCAACGTCGTAGCAGCAACAATCTTGACAGGACCTTTCAAAGGTGAAGATGTTCTTATTCTTCACATTCCTATGATTCCAATGAATGTGCCATTTCAATTTAAGAGATCGTAAATCCCAATTCAATTGGCGTTTGCAATCACCATTAACAAAGCTCATGGCCAATCTTTAGAATTGTGTGGTTTAGATCTAGACACGGATTGCTTCTCACATGGACAATTATATGTTGCGTGTTCTAGAGTCTGCAATCAGACAATCTCTATATCTTCACAGACAGTAGAACAAGAAACAATATTGTATACCCACAAGCATTGTGAAATTAAACATGTTAGAAACGTACAATTTCTCTTTACTTTCTTTTCCATTTAACCAGACTGAGCCACAGTAACGCGTGGCGGGTACTGCTAGTTTAAAATACTTATAAAAAACATTTCAGATAAATAATAAATATGGTAGACGCCCAATAGAAGTTAATTTGCATTCAATGCTTTCACATTCGATAACGAAAACAAACCCTATTTATCAACTTATAAGACTGTGAAGGGATGGTTTCACCAGACTAAACTTCCAATGATTTTATATGCCTGTGGCAGTTTGTGCACTTAGCAAGTGCATGGGCCTAGTTTCGTTAACCCATACCCGAATCATCTTGAGTTAGGGCTCATCTGAAAGCCAGTCATCAGCAATCCAAATATGTTACAATGGTCATTGTGATGAATTTGTGGACAGAGTTAGTGCCAGAAACAGCTTTCATTTTGGAGAGGGCGCTGTGACAGAGGATTTGCTCGGGTGGTGCGAGGCTTGGGAGCATGGCGGGTGGCCTACCTCCCACTCCTCCAGCCTCATTGCCATGCCTCGTCTCTGATTAGTTGAGAGGGGTAGGCCTCTGTCTGCCTCCCACTGATTGGTTCTTTTGATGCAGGACGCGGGAAGTCGCCGGCATCCCTCTCTCAAGGCTTCATTCTGAATCCAGCCGCCACCTTGACATGACGCTTCCTTGGCCAAGGAAGCCAAGTTGAGTAAGAAGACGTTGTGGCGGTTGACTACTTTACTGTTCCACCCAACACCTCATCTACGATGTCGTCTGCCCAGAATCCAGTACCTGTGCCGTATTTCGATGGGGAGAAAGATAGGGAGTGTAGCGAGTAGGGATCGTGGAACGTGGGTAATTTGCATACGAACGGTCAATGTGTTCGTGGGTCCCCACTCCAGTGATCATTCAGACGTTCTAAATCCTGCTAGTGCTCTATAGCAGTCAAGTGAACGGGGAAATATCTTGTCAGTGTTCAGGGCAGTTTTCCAATAGTCATATTGTTTTGGCTCCAATTTTTGTGGAGCACCACGCTTGCCCAGGGAGTGGTGTGAAGGCTACCACCTAAGCCTAGCCATCCTGCCACCTAGCTGCCGTAATCAGCCACCTACAGCAGGTGCCTGGGTTATGATAGGACACTTGCATGTGAGCATGAATGAGCCGGTAGTGTAAATGAAGTAAGTACGTTGTGTGTTTTGGTGATTTATATTCTCTAAGCCTGAATTCGAGATCAGGTGTTCCGTCCCATTGTCTCCAAGCACCTGTGAGGTGAGGTGACGTAAGGACGCGTGAGATTTTCACTCGTATTGACATTTTTTCAGTCTCAGAGGAATTTAGCTTGGTGTAGATAGGTGTCCCTGTATCTGTATGTGTGTGGAGGTGTACACACGGGAACAGTGTCTACATAGATTAGTCAAGGACTGTGAGGGATGTCCAAGTAATATTTATATTCCACTCTGGTAGAATTTGTTAATTCATTCATGATGTTTATCTTGTTCCATGTGATGTAATCAATTGCAGGTGTGGAAGTCCAGTACTGGTCATAAGTGCATAGGTAAAGTGTCAGTGTGTAACACCAAGGGTTCCTGGCATTTGATTATTGTGGAGTGATACCAGAGTGTGATTATTTCGAGTTGCGTGGTGACCGCCGGCCAGGTCGGACGTTCCTGAGGTCTCTCCGCTTCTGGCTAGTGATTACGTTGGGTGATCGCTTGTTTGCCCTGCTGGTGGTGGTTTGCCACTGACAGGGTGACGTTTGCTTAGCCATGGGGACGTCTCGCCCTCCAATGACGAGGACGCTGTTAGCTGGTCTGGCGTTTACGGTGCCGGTGGACCATCCATTGGTTGGTGTCGCCCTGGTGGACGTGCTGCATGTGGAGCTGTCGGACCTGGTGGGCATCCAGCTGCTTCAGGGCCACCGTGCTGTGGTCAAGTTCCGCTTCCAGGCTGCCTTTCAGGCGTTTCTCGAGCGGTGTGAGGGGCGTGTTTACCCTCTCCCTGATACTGCTGGCTCCATTAAGGTAGTGAAACTCAGTGTCACCTTGACGTCTGTGACGGTGCATGGTGCCCCCTTCGAATTTCAGGACGACTTTTTAACCTCCTGTTTCGAACGGTTTGGGGCTGTGTTAAGTGTTCGATGGAATAAGGTCGTTGCCGGGCACTGTGTTGGTATGCTTGACGGCTCCCGCACCCTGACGATGTCGCTGAAGTGTAGTGTACCGTCGTCGATGTCCGTGTTGGGTTACACGCTCCGCTGCCAGTACCGGGGTCAACCGCGCACCTGTTATCGGTGTGGTCACGAAGGTCATCTGGCTGCGGCGTGCGACGTGGGAGCAACTGGTCGGGTGCATGTTCTTCGTGTGGAGGATTTTCCGCCCCTGTTGCGTTCGGACGGTGTGGGTGCTGTGCCTGAGGCGCCTGACTGCCTGTCTGCTGCTCCGCCTGTTGGGGCGAGTTCTCTGGCCCGTGCGCCACGTCAGGTGACTGCTGTGGCCCCTGGGGTTGTTGAGCTGGTGTGTGAGGGTGACGGGGCGTCGCCTGCGCTGCGTGTAGTGCAGGGTGTTCCGGTGGAGGTTCATGTCCCACCCCCGCCTGTGGATGTGGTAACGGCTCCCGGGGACACGGGTTCTGCTGTTTTGGAGGGGGTGCTTCAG